AGGCCGGAGAGATGGCTCAATCCAGTAAGCGCTTCCCTGACAAGTACAAGGGCCTGAGTTCAATCCCTGGTTCCACCAAAATAAAATAAAATAAATTTTAAAGGAAGACATTTTAAATAAACTTCCTATAAAAAATAAACTTCCTATATATGTTGATTAAAATTTTTTAATCTTATGTCCAAAATTGGGCTGGGAAGATAGCTCAGTAGAATAAGCGTTTGCCTGGCAAGCGTAAGGTCCTGCATTCAATGCCTAGTACCGCAAAAAAACAAAAACAAAACAAAATAAAAAAATAATGTTTATTTTAAAAACTCAAATTATCCACCTTACAAAGACAAAACAATTTCACTTCATAAGGACTTTTTTGGCGGAACCGGGGATTGAACTCAGGCCCTTGCACTTGCCAGGGAAGCGCTTATTCCACTGAACCATCTCCCTAGCCCCCTCATAAGGATTTCTGAAAGATGAATAATTAAAAATAGTTTTTACACACACAAATGAGTAACAAGAGAAACTGGGGAGATGTGAGCAAGGTTGGTGGCACGTGTCACAGTCAAGATCTGGCTGATCCTGTACTGCCACAGCTGTGTAAGACAGTACCGCTGGAAACATGGAGGAGAGACTCACAGGTTCTATGTCTTATATAATTCCCTGTGAATCTACAACTCTAAATTTCTTTCTTTCTTTCTTTTTTTTTTTTTTTTTTTGCAGTACCAGGGATAAGACCTTGCCCTTGCCAGGCAGACACTTGTGCACTGAGCTATATCCCCGGCCTAATATTTTAATTTTAAAAGTCAGTCTTTTACTATTTTTATAAAATAACATGTGAAATATTAGTTCTTTCAACTCTTTTGTAGCACTTTGCTATCTCCTGAAACCAAAAGGCAAAGCTAAATTGATATGGTTCCCACAAATGTTTTAATTTTAAAACACAATTTACAGAACTTACTGAGCTTCTATTTTATATACATTGGTATGGACTTGTCTATAAAGTACCTTTCAACATGATAAAGTTCCCAAAGCTAAATATAGATAATTAAAGAAGTCAACATTAGTGAGAATGTTAACCAAATCTGTAAGAAAAAAAATCTTTTTATTACTTTATAATTTCTCTTTAGTTAAAATTTGTTAAATATGTAACATAAGATTTCATGAGTCAAAAAAGACTTCCTAGGTCAGCAGAGATGAGAGCTAGGATGGCCACGCGCCTGCACACACGCTCACTCATTCCGTTCTTAATAAGCTTCCGCTGGGGACCTAGAGCGCAAGGCCCTGTGCCAAGGACCGGGGGCAAGTGGACAGAACAGGCCCCGCAGCCTGATGGAGGCAGACGACACCAGGGCCAGCACACTCCCTTTCCGTTCCTCCCTCTGGCTTTATAGCAGCCTGTAAAGTCACTATTTTACACTTGTAACTCCCGCTGCAGTTGCTCTGAAGTGTTTTTAAAGACAGGGTCTTGCTATGTAGCCCAGCCTGGCTCTGAACTCAGGATCCTCCTGGCCAGCTTCCCACAGGCTGGGATCACAGGTCTACACCGCCACTACTAGCCACAGCTTCTGTGTTAAAAGATTCAGTCATGGAAGGCCTCCCCGGCATTTCACTCTGTTCTCTGTGCTAACTACCTTCTCCCATTCTCGGAATTCTATGAAAAACAGGGACAAACAAACCAAAGCCTTACCCAAGAGACTGCCAGTCCAATCCATCTTCTCCGCACACACGTTGCCGGCAGGCTCCATCTTGGCAATCTCCGCCTGATGCTGTGCGAAGGCCAGCTGAGCGACACGGACAGGAGCCGTGAGGGCAGCGCTGAGACCACGGAAGTCCGGCCACTCATCCAAGACACCCAGCTCAACATGCCTCGACACTCCCACAAACCCGGCTGCTCCATGACTTTTAATTTTTACTTTTTGATTTGTTTGGTTTTTTGAGACAGGATCTCACTATGGAGTTCAGGCTACCCCAGAATTCAAGTCACTATGTAGCCCGGGCTGGCCTCAAACTCATGGCGATCCTCCTGCCTTAGCCTCCCCAGTGCTAGGGTTACAGGCAACTGCCACCACATTCTGCTCTAATTTTTTTTCTACTCCAATTTTAAGATAATTAAAAATTAGAAAACGGACTGGAAAGAATGTCAAAACACAATTACTCATAGGTAATAAAATTACAGGTGAATTTTTTAAATTACTTACATCATTTCCAAAGTCTATACTGTTTGCTTGCTGCTGCTGTGGACTAAGCCCCGGCCTTCCTTATGCCAGGCAAGCACACTGTACCACGACCTACATCCCCAGCCCCGAACACGGCACTTTATATTCAAAATGACCTCAGTTTTAAAAATGACACTTTGGCATCATGTGTAATAAGGAATAAAAGGACACACTCAAATTCCCTAAGAATTCTTAAGTTTTTTAAAAACATGCCCACCTGGCTCTGTGTTAATTTAGTGGCCCATCTGCCACCGAGCGGGAACTGGTCATCACAACCAGGACTACGGTTTTCCTCCTAATGGGTAAAGGACCCCCAAAACCACACATAGCTGGAAGTGCCAACATAACGCCACCCCCTGACCACGTCCAGCGCTGCCCTCTACCCACAGCCAGAGCAAGACTGCTGTCGGTTCAGCCTTCTTTTACTATGATTTACACTTCACAACTTTCAAACTTTGGACCTATTTAATACCTTAAAACTTTGGACCTATTTAATACCTTATATAAATATATCCAATTCCATCCCAAGCTGAAGAGAAAACTGATGACAAAAACTCGTCGCAGCTGGATGTACCAACGCACACGCGTCCACAGCTCCGTGGCCACCAACATCACCAGGCAGAGCAGACACAGGAGCACCTGCCCGGAGGAGAAGCTGCAGTCAGCGCCCGCACGAGCCAGCCACCCCCACGGTGGAAATGACCAGGAAGCCAGTCATCCCCAGGCCTGGCTGCTGGCTCGTCACCTCAGGGAGTGGCCAATGACCAGTTCTTAGCCTAATCACGGTGGTATTTTCAAAATACTGTTTAAAAGGGAAACTCAGGGGCCAGGGAGATGGCTCAGTAGAATAAGCCTTTGCCTGGAAAGTGCAAGGGCCTGAGTTCAATCCCAATTCCGTCAAAAAAAAAAAAAAAAAAAAAAAAGAAAGAAAAAGACCAAACAAACTGGCAGTCTTCCTGTCTCAGCCTCCCAAGGGTTGGGATTATGGGGAGTCCAATCTAGTAGTGAGACCCTGAACACCCTGTAGACCCTTCCCTAAAAAAAAAAAAAAAAAAAAAAAAAAAGGAAACTCAATCCCACCACACCGACCACATCTTACCATCAGTACACTGTGCGCATCGACACCAAAGGAATCTTCAAATCGCCACTTCCATGTTTCCAAGTCATGAAATTTAAAGTTAATTAAAATCTCACTGAGGGCATCGTCCAGGGCTCCTGGCTTCCAGTCTTCTCCAGCAAGGAACCTCTGTATTTCCAGTAAAGTTTGTCTTGTAAGGATAATCTCGGCATCGTAATGCATATCTCCTTTGTTTTCATCAGGCTAAATTACATTTCCCAGAAACGAACAATAGAAAGAAAGAATTTGATTACATTATTCATGGAAAAGTGAAGATGAAAGCCACTTTGGAACATAACATATAATTCATTTGCACGAACCTCAAAGCCACAAAAAAAAAAATTAGTCTACATATTTACTATAATTAGTCTACAATATTTCACATAGATCATAATATCCACCTGTCCCAAAGGCCAATGCGCAAACCAAATACATATGAAAAACATTTGAAAACACTTCTCCATGTATGATACTGTACATTTTACTAAAATACAGTTGATGTTTGTTATTGGCAGGATTTCTGATCTACAAAGTCACTTCCCACACTGTTATGGTTTGTGTCTAACTGTCCCCCCAAAGCCTCATGCAGTCATTGGGGCAGGTTTCTAGAGTTGGCGATGGATTCATGATCCAATGCAGGGATTATGGGCGGAGAGCCCGGATGCAGTATGCGGGAGTGAGGCTGGCGAGCTGCCGCAGCCGCTGCCCTCCCTTTGCTCTGCTGCCCTGAACTGCTGCCCTCTGCCCTGTGCCACCAGCTTGGAGCCAGCCGACTATGGCCTGAAACCTCCACCAACTGTGAGCTAAATAAATCTTTCTATTCTTAATTTTGGATGCTGGGTATTTTGTCCCAACAATGAGAAAAAGTAACTGAGACAGTAGTGAGTGCTGAACCATTACTCCTAAAGGAAGCACCAGATTAAGGCCTAGTGAACTTCTAGTCAACATTTTCATCAAAAAAAAAAAAAAAAAGAAAAGAAAAGAAAAGAGAAAAGAAATCCATCAGTCAACAGGCGCCTTGTTTCGTGTGTCACTGCAGCACTTACTAATGCATTCTACCGCCTTGTTTCGTGTGTCACTGCAGCACCTATTAATGCATTCTACTGACCCACCCAACAGAGCTAACAGTCATACAATCTCCACCCACCTACCAAGTATTTTCTTTGTACACACGGCACAGCCCTCTTGCGCTTAGCAACGCCAGACAGTACTTTCACAGTACATCTGGGGGTCATTTAAGCAATAAAATTACCCACCCCTCAGAACAACATGAAAGCTGACCTCTAACCAGGCTGCGCTAAGCAAAAGCGCGTGAGCAGCACGACAGCTAAGAGGGATGGCAAGACCTGCCTTCTTCCACCCTGCTGGGAACAGGCGCATCAGCGCAACTCAAATTTTCTGCCACTCTGCACATGTCCAAGGATGACCACAAATTACTTCAACTTTTTATTTTGGGGTTACGAAGAAATTTTAGTGACGAGGTACATTCATAAATATGGAATCTCCCAATGATGAGGATCGACTGTGCATCTTTATGATTCAGTTCATGACTCTCCACTAGCTGATACGATTCTGTGAGAGCCTAAACTTTTCAGTAGTTTAAGAAAAAAGGGATCCCAAAGAGGCAAAATAATGCGTTTCCTTATAATACAGTGTCTGTAACCATCTTTAAGAGTGTGGGTTCGGCTTAGCAGAATCAGTGTAAACAGCATTTCATATTCATCTGCCAGTTGACACATGCCACCCATACTTCAGATGCAAAGGTCCCCCAAGGTCCATCTGCTGAAGGCTTGATCCCAGGGTAGCACTTGGTGGAGGCGGTGGAACCCCTGGGGGGAGGGCCAGCGGCAGGAAGTCAGGACACTGGAGGGTGACCTGGAAGGACTGCGGGCCCTGGCCGCTCCTCCCCTGTGCTGCCGGCCGCAAGACGCGCAGCTGGCTCTCCCATAGCTCCCCACTGGCAAGCACCATCTCGGAGGCCCCCCAAGGTCTGCCATCTCGGACTGGCATCCAACCAAAACTGGGATTCAACCTTTTTTTGTGTGTTTACTATCTCAGGTACTTAATTACAGTGACAGAAAGCTAACAAAGCAAAAGATTCCTTTTTCTTTTACAAGAGTCAATACAAATAAAAAAGGTGAACAAAATTTTAAAAACCAAAATACTGTGATATATCATAAACCATCAGAAAACTTTTTAAAAACCTACCACTGATAAATACTTTAAATCGGGAGCTAAGTGTCTCTCAGCACCTCCATCTGAAGCACCTGACGCGCCACCTAGCTCTTATCGAGGCTGCCGCGCACCCTGCACAGCTGTTAAGACTCAAGCAGCGGTGTCCAAGTGACAACATCTGCTTCTGCGCTTCTAGAGTGGAGTGAGCTTCCAGATCGACGTATCTAACACTCCCGTTCCCGTTAACGACCTCAGAATGAACCGGAGGACAGCTCTGCACGGCCGGCAGGCCCCACCGACACGGAGGCCTCTCCCTTCAGCGGCCACCTATCAACAGCTGGAGGACTGGATTCTGGCTTCTGACTCTCCAGACCACTTGTGGGATACACGCTAGGGTCTATGTGCCTGAACGTGGATGTTATGAACGCTCTAAGTTATAAAGTTCGATTTTTCTTGGTATTTTGAGTCCCCGAAGTGAACACAGTGACCCTATAGTGTGGACACTGGGGTCTGGGGGTGTAGCTCAGTGGTGACACTCATGCCTAGCATGTGCAAGGCCCTGAGTTTGATCCTAGCACTGCCAGAAAAACACCAATAACTTGAATATGATACATAATTCTACACCCCATTCCCTGCCATAGTAAATAGTAAGAAGAAAACCCTTCTCCAAGTATGTTTCTTAGCTGGGCACAGGGTCGAGGAGGCCAAGGCAGCATGATCACAGCTGGAGGCCAACCTGAGTAACCTCAAAGCAAAAGCAAAAGCAAAAGCTCAGAGGCAGAACACCTGCCTCGCTTGCACAAGGCCCTGGGCTCAACTCCCGAGTACCACAAAACAAACAAAAATATATTTTTCTTTTTCTCAACATTTAGTGACCTTACATTATATGACTAACAAAGTATGAAAATAGTCAAAGGAAGCAGGGTGAAGACAGAGTCACCACGCACCCAGCCACCCAGTCAGAGGTGCTACAGTGCACTGTGGTGATTACCCAAGTCCCCTTAAGTAGGAAAAGGAAAGGTGGGCTGCACTGCTGGCCTCGAGTAAAGCCCCGCAAAACAGGCTGGGAAAAAGATGAGTCAGTCTACAGCCATACCACCCTGAACCCACCCGATCTCGTCTGAAAAAGGCAAGTCAGAAATTCCATCAAAGCCCAGTAAGACTCAGGCACTACTCTACACGATTTCACATTAATAACCACCATATTGAGATTTTTTTTTTTTTTTTTTTTGTTCCTTGAATGCCTTCAGGGCACTTTTGGCCAGCAGGAGACTTGTGAGGTTCAAACTCCAGCAACCTGAGGCTGACAGCTTTGTGGAAGCAGCCACTTAAAGGACTGAGCTAGGGCCAGGCCCCCAGTAACCACCATATTGATTAGTATCATAGCACCAAATACTTACAAGTCCAAGCTTTCCAGCTTCAATGAGAATCTTATTTAGGTATCTCCTAAAAACAGGATTACTTGGACTTTCATAGTCTTCCTTCTTTTTCTTTTCACACTCATCAATCTGTAATCATACAATAAATTCAACATTCATATCCAAATTTAATGTGAGTTGAGTTTCTAATGTAGTGACCCCATCAAAGTCAATATAAGGAGTTTTTTCATCAAGCTTGTATAACATGTGATCAAACTATATGTTAAATTAACAGACTACAAAACACACTGCCATTAATCTCCCCCAAAATATTCTCCCTTGCTTTGAAAACACATTTATCCCATGGTTCTTGTTGCTTTCTGAAGCAATTCTGGAAGTCCTCCTTCTGGAGGGTCTTACACGGCCTAAGAGTGCGGCGCCCAGTGCTCCCGGGCGCCCTCTGGTGGAAAGGCGGGCTCCCAAGAGCCCCGCACTGCTCCTGCTGCACTCACTCGCCAGCCCTGGCACCTGCTGCTGCTGGCGCTTCCTGAAAGCCAAAGCTATCGGGGAAGGCAAACATTCTGAGTCAATTCAAGCTGTTGATGGAGGCGCCACAACCACACAACTACAATACTTGTGAAAGAGAACTTCCAAAACTGTTTCAGAAAGTGGCAAGAACCACAGGATACATAAGTTCAAAGAAAGGGGATTATGAGGGGTCAAATGGCTGGCAATGTGTCTTTTACTGTAATGTTTCAGTGGCTTTTTTTTCTTTTCAGTACCAGGGACTGAACTCAGGACCTGCACTTGCCAGGCAGACACTTATTCCACTGAGCTATCTCCCCAGCCCCCAATATTTTTTTTTTTTTTAATTTACTTTTTGGTGGAACCGGGGATTGAACACAGGCCCTTGCACCTGCCAGGTCAGTACTTATTCCACTGAGCTATCTC